TCGAAGGTAGTGGTCCATACAAGAATATAGCGGGATAAGAGAGCTGGATGGCTCCACTAAAGCTGCTAAAGATAGCTAATTAGCTACTGGATACTGTAAATGTATAAACACGTGGTCAATCGCCATAGCAACTATCTAAACCGTTTCCATGGAAATTCTTATTAGCATTCGCGAAAATTAGTCGTCCTACGGTATTCACCACAAATTTTACTGTAGCACTTGGGTACAAATCCACAAGTATTCTCATGAGGGAAGAGGGACTGGATGTCAAAGTCTCAGGTGTGAGCAGACTGATTAAGAAATACATGGAAACTGGTTCAATTACTCGAAGGCCAGGTTTGTCAGTATTAATTCTACTACACTTTTTTTTTATTTTGACAATGTAGGATCAGAAGACATTCAAAAGTAACCGGAGATGTTTTAAAGATAGTAGAGAACCAAATGCAAGCTGATGATGAAAGCACTGCTACTCAACTTCAGAAACTTCTTGTTGAGTAAGGTCATTCACAGTCACTGAAAACAATATTGATGTCTCGCGATACACTTGGTTGGACATACCGTAGGAGTGCATACTGCCAGATCATCAGAGGACTAAATAAAGAGAAGCGATTGAAATGGCCTCAAGATCACTTGCAGGAGCACCAGACTACTGGTTTTTCTGATGTAGTGTACACTGATGAGTGTACAATTCAATTGGAATCCCAAAGGAGATTTTCATGTAAAAATAGGTGCACCCCCGAAACCCAAACTAAGGTAGCACTAAATTAATGACATGTATATAAGTGGTATTATTTAAAACCTATTATACAGAGCAAAACACCCCTATAAGGTACATGGATGGGCAGGTATAAGTTGCCAAGGAAACACGCCGATTGTGCTGTTTGAAGGAAGAATGAATTCAGCTGGTTTCATTGAAGTTTCGGAAAATGGACTGATTCTTTATATCCAGCATGTATATCCATCTCCAAGGATAATGATCCCAAACATTCCTCTAAGAAAGTAAAGGAGTGGTTAGAAGCCAACAATTTAAACTAGTGGAAAACACCACCAGAATCCCCGGATTTATCCAATCGAAAATCTATGGCACAAGCTCAAAGAATGTCAGGAGAGTGGTGAAGCCACAAAGAAAGGACGAATTAGTCAAAGGAATCATGGATTTTTGGGAAAACTGTAGATAGAAGAAAGTGTAGTAAATATATCAGACACTAACGTAAAGTAATAATGAAAGTGATTGAATGCAATGGAGGCCCCGCTGGATATTAATGCATGTACATGTACACAGTAGCTCTTTTGATCTTCCTCTTTCCTTATAAATGTAACATCACTACATGTAATCTATGCTAACAGACTTGTACATTACAGATTGCATGCACTTATAAATCTCTTCTATACCACTTCCAATTCCTCATCCTTGTTTAACCCCCCCACATTTATTATAATAATTAAAAACAAAGTATATCTTTTATTCATCGTATATCTTTTGCATCTTTATAACATTATATCTAATATATAATATATATACATGTATATCAACAGTGTCACTGTGTCAGACTATTTATTATTTATGTGATACTACACTCGGTATAGCCTGCTACTCTAGATTCTTAATATCAGGTGGATATTTGCTTTTTAGCCCTGATGAGTGATGATTTATTGCTTGAATTCACTTTGATCAATACGGCTC